AAAAAAAAAAAAAGAAGAAAATGAGTATTACCTTAATTATTAAGACAGTCATACCTTGTATTTTTATCCAGTTTTACCAGAGAACAGACACCGTGTGAAGGTAGTACCCATCAGAGCTCAGATTCAAGTCCTAAAAGACAATAGGCCCCATGTTTCACCAAAACATCTTCATTCAAATTATATATACCTCTTAAAACCTATCTTTTCTCAGCAGTCAATATGAGTCAATAGCATTATTAATAAATGTACTCTGTTTCATTATATAGCAGGCCATGATTTATTTATATGTCCTTTACTATAAGATATTTCTATTTTCTAATTTTTTCATTTTTAAGCATTTTTTTTTGGTAGAAAATCTGGACAAGATCAGTGGGATGTATCTATGTCCTGGGTGTGATATTTTACCATAGTTTCATAAGATCAGTTGGCATAAATCAGGTAAAGAGCACAAAGAATTGCTCTGTTACTTATAACTGCATGTTAATCTGCCTTTATCTCAATTTAGAAAACAGACTTCTCCAGGAAAAAAATCATTTTCTGAACATTCTTGGGAATACGTTTGTATGGTACTATAGCTGTTTCCTTTGAATAAATTCTAAATAGTCACATTTTGAGTCAGACCATATCAAATTATATTTAAGTGCTTTGCATACACCAGACACTATGATATTAGTATTTGGATTGAGAGTATGACTAAAGTGACACCATTGCTACCTGTACAGTGTTTGTAATCCAGCAAGGAAGGAAAACTAGGTAGAAACAGCTCAAGGCAACATTGATTGAGACCTCTGGAGAATTCTAGATTTTGTCCTCTGAGAGGTCCTAGGACATGATTCTGGGAGTAGCCAGTGAGGTCAGGTCATGATTGTAATAATTCTGAATGCACAGGCTCTTTTGTTGACATCAGTGGGATTTATTTTCTAAGTATTATACTTTACGTATTTTTTTTCTAATATTTGGTACAAGGTGAAGACTTATTAGATGAGATGATTTCACAATTGTGAACAAATTCACAGTCCTATCAAGACATAAAAGAAAGTAGTCTCAAGATAACTGTCAGTGTCTATAGGCATCCTAGCTAATCAGTGCTCCCACATATATGGACATCAGAATTGGTTTAGGTTTGGAGAAGTGAAATGGAACAAGGGGAGCAGTAAATTTACGCAAAGTTTATGTATTCTAAGCTTTTTCTACAAAGTCAGAAGTAGACATTTTATGAAAAAAAGTCTCTTGAGAGTCTGCCTCTGAATAAATTTAAATGAAAGACACATGTATTTGTTAAGGCAGTGGATGGCCATTAAAAAAAACTAGTAAGGTATACTTAAAAGCAAGAAAATCAACATTAGAAGATGTATCTGGTTGAGAAGACAGCCACCAGATGTGGTGATTCTCCATGAAGATTGAAAGGACTCAGCATCTATCCCTATTCATTACTGATTTATTCCAGTGAAAGAATACAAAGCAAAATCAGATTTTATTGCATAGATAAGTAGGAAGGAAACCAGGCTCACTCTTTCACAGTTATCTCTCAGTGGAACCACACAAGATGTGGTTCATTCATACAGCCATGCACAACACCTATTCATTGTTATCTACAAGGGTACTCACCATAGTCTGTGGTCCAGGGTAGATTTTTTTTTTTTTTTTTTTTTTTTTTACGTTTTTGGCTGGGGCCAGGTTTGAACCCACCACCTCCCATATATGGGGCCAGCACCCTACCCCCCTGAGCCACAGGCACTACCCATGTGGTCCAGGGTTTTTTATCAAGGTTCATTATGTGCATTCTGCATAGCACAATCTGAACTTCTAGACTCCCAGAGGAAAGCAAGTATTCACCATAATCCATAGTGTTTATACAAGCAGTTTAGGCATAGGAAATCACTCTTAAATGTTAAGGAATAGTGCGGGCTGGTCATGGTGGCTCCTACCTGTAATCCTAGCACACTAGGAGGTCGAGGTGTGTGAATTGCTTGAGCTCAGGACTTCAAGACCAGCCTGAGCAAGAGTGAAACCCCATCTCTACAAAAAATAGAACAACTAGCCTGAAGTGGTGGTGGGCGCCTGTAGTCCCACTTACTGGGGAGCCTAAGGCAGGAGGATCACTTAAGCCTAAGAGTTTGAGGTTAATGTGAGCTGTGATAGCATGGCACTTTATCCAGGGTGGCAGAGTCACACCCTGTCTCAAAAAAATAGAAAAGGAATAGTGAGAATACTCCAGAGTCTGGTTCTCAGATACCAAGGGCCAATATTGTGAGCAAGCCTTGGGATAGCAATTTCAAGACTCATTATGTTGAGCGGGTAAGGTGGCTCAGCCTGTAATCCTAGCACTCTGGGAGGCCGAGGTGGGTGGATTGCTTGAGTTCATGAATTTGAGACCAGCCTAAGCAAAAGCAAGACTCTATCTCTGCTAAAAATAAAAAAACTGGGTGCCTGTAGCTCCATGGTTAGAGCCCTAGCCCTGTGCGTTGGGGCTGGCGAGTTCAAACCTGGTCTGGGCCTGCTAAACAATTAAAAAAAAAGAAAAACTGAGGCAAGAGGATCACTTGAGCCCAAGAGTTGGAGGTTGCTGTGTGCTATAATGCCACAGCACTCTACCCAGGTGACAGGACAGGTTGAGACCCTATCTAGAAAAAAAAAAAAAGACTCATGTTAACTTTTCTTTATAAGGGAAATACAACTTTCCAAACTTTTTCTTTCTGTTTTCTCTGTTTCTTTCTGTTGATATCATATGATTGGTTTGTTAGCATGTGTATCTCTTATGTCCCCGTCCCTCCCTCTCTTGCTCCCTCCTTTCCTTCCTTCCTACCTCTCTCTTTCTCTTTCCAAATATAGAAATGTGTATGTGCATGGGTAGATATAAATATTTAAAGTTACATACCAAATTTTACAAATGTATCATATCTTGTTTTGGTAACTTTTCTACCTATAGTGTGTCTGAAATGTCTCAGGTCTTTAAGTATCCCTTTCAACTTAGAAAGAATTCATTTACCACTTTTTTACTTTGAATATACTCTACATGTAATTATGCAGTCAGCTTCTCCGGACTCAAGGGTATTGAGCGTAGCCAGAGCAGTTCCATGTCCACTCTGTCCTCCTGCTATGTTTTGAGTAACATCATCTGATCTAGAGTCTAGAGGAAGTCCAGGTTTAGACATGCAGCCCCTCCTCATCATAAAAGGTTGTCCCAGCGGAGCAGGATGTGTTCAGAGTAAGATTAGAACACTCCAAGCACCCACACTCAGATCCAGATCACAATCCCCCTGTGCACAGTTAGCCTGCAAGATTTTAAGGCACCATCTCCACACAAAACCACCCACACTCCCCAAAACAGTTGCTTGTTTGAGGAGTTCCTCACAAACACCCTCAGGTTTAGCAGTTCACTGGAAGGACTCACAGGACTCCCACTGAGAGATGTACCCATGATTAGTCTGTTAAAGTATACGTCAGCTAAGAAAAACAACACATAAGTTAAAGTCTAGGACAGCAGTTCTCAACCTGTGAGTCGTGACCACTTTGTACTTTATTAAAGGTTTTGCAGCATTAGGAAAATTGAGACCCACTGGTCTAGGAAGTTCCAGACATGCAGCTCTTGGTGTCTTCTCTCTGTGAGTCAAGACTTACTACTCTGCTGTGTGACATGTGACAGAAGCACCATCACAAGCTAGACAAGCGTACCCAAGTTCTGATGTCCAGAGTTTTTTGGGGCTTCAGCACATAAGCATGATTGATGGATTGTCTCCTCTACATGGTTAATTTCAGTCTCCAGGTTAGCTGATAGTGTGTGACCCAAAGACTCCATTCTGAGTCACCTGGTTGATCTTTCTAGCATGGCCAGCCCCCACTAAAAAAAGACATACCTATCAAATACAACATGGATTACTTCTCAGAAGCTGAGGGCAAAGGCCAGACCTCTTTTTGAACAAGTCCAAATTCTTTTTTTTTTTTTTTTTGACACAAAGTCTCAAGCTGTCACCCTGAGTAGAGTGCTGTGGCATAACAGCTCACAACAACTTCAAACTCCTGGGCTTACGCGATTCTCTTGCCTCAGCCTCCCAAGTAGCTGGGGCTACAGGCACCCACCACAACGCCTGGCTGTTTTTTGGTTGTGGTTGTCATTGTTTGGCAGGCCCGGGCTGGATTCGAACGAGCCAGCTCTGATGTATGTGACTGGCGCCTTAGCTGCTTAAGCTACAGACGCCAAGCCAGTCCAAATCCTTCATTCTGTTCCTTTGGCAACTCCCAGCCAGAAATCTCCTGCAGTGTGTCTGGGTGTATCTTTAGAGCAGGCGTCCTCAAACTATAGCCTGCCTGCGGGCCACATGCGGCCCGCCTAGGACATTTATCCAGCCCACCGGGTGTTTTCGCCACCGCTGCTTGTCCTGCTTACGAGCCGACTTGTCCCGGGGCCCGCAGTCTGGCCTTCCACCGGTCTAAGGGACAGTGAACTGGCCCCCTGTTTTAGGACCCGTGCTTTAGAGGGAAAAAGTAGCTCTTCTATATACAGCAGGGCTTCCTGGGGTTTTAGGATAGAACTTGGTTTTACCCAGAATCCTCTTAATCTTTCCCAGACGTGTCATTTTGTTTGATTCTGTTGGGATGCAAAGATGGAGAAGCCAAAAAGTCATATGAAATCATTGTGGGAGCCCAAAGTGCACTCACTGTCAAGTGTCTCTTTTTTTGCCCCTAGCTCTATCTGACTTCTTGGAACTTTCCTCTTCTGCCGAAGAAACCTCAAGAAGACTGATTAATTCTTTACTTCTGAAACCATGGCCCAGGTAAATGTATATTTCTTACCTTCTTAAAATGCGATTTTTGGATTTTGTGATTATTTTTCTAAATTATCCAAAGCCTTCTACTTAACCTCATCTAATTACCTACTTCCCATTTCTGTTCTTTTCCACTGAATGATAATGCTATATAGCTGTATGTCTATTTGGAGGGTAATGTTTGTTTAATCATTGAGTAGAGTATTCAGTATCACCTATTCCCTCACTTTTTTGTCACGAATAATGTTGGGATAATGAAGAAACAAAGTCCCTTGAGGGAAATAAATATTTAAGTCAAGTCTGTGGATGAATAAATGAAATAGGTTGGCCCCATTTGACCACATGAGAAAATTAATTCTCTACTGATAATGTTTTCAAGCTAGATAGTTCATATTTATTGGTCTCAGTCTTAGTGTGTGGTAAGATCTGAAGCTTTATGATGCTTCTAGAATTGGATAGAGTTGTGCTTAGGACCTATGGATAGAGATCATGTTCTTGCCACGGAAATTGGGGGTAAATTTTATTGTTGAATGGACCTGCCAGACCTCTGTATGATTGTGAATCATTTGGCACTGTCATTTTCTAAATCATGAACAGGGGAAAGGCAGGGGTGGTGCATGGTAACAAATCAAAGATCTTCTAGTACAGAAGTAATAGATCTTACACCCCCACAATTTGGGAAAACCTTAGATGTTTTGGGTCAACCTAAGTGTTCATCTGTAATAGACTAAGTCTGACTTGTCTGTATGATGGAATTAGAACAGGCATTTTTTCTATACAAAGGAAGGCTACTTTTAAGGTGTGATCTGGCATGTTGATGAATTCGAGGCTTGAAAATAGTCAAACATACAAAACTCTATTCTAAAACAAAAGGTCTTATGTTAAATCTCAGGATTTTTTTTTCCTTAAAAAAAAAAATGCTAGGTATCCACACTTGTTGACAAGTTACAAGGCAGGCCATAGCAGACTCCATGCTTACAAACCAGAGGAAAACTCGGATTGTTTATCTGCTTCCTGAAAAGTTTGAATGACTAAGAATTCTGAAGAGTGCAGGTCATTTCCTCTACAGCAGTAGGGCCCTGTGTAACACAGCTAAGTCATAGTTATGATGATGTCCTTAGTGTCCCTACATATAGGCATTCAGTCTACTCCCTGTATTGTCTCCCACCTGGAAGGTACCTTTTGTCTCCCTTCATCTTGAAGCTGTTTTTCTCATCGCTTCATCAGGAACATGTGTATGTTTTCAGGGTATGGTGACATTCTCTGATGTAGCCATAGACTTCTCTCAGGAGGAATGGGCGTGCCTGGATTCTGCTCAAAGGGACCTTTACTGGGATGTGATGTTGGAGAACTACAGTAACTTGGTCTCTCTGGGTAAGTTATATGCCTCAAATAACTTAAACCAGGCATTCTCAAACTACGGCCCGTGGGTCACATGCCGCCCGCCTAGGACATTTATCCAGCCCATCAGGTGTTTTTGCCGCCACTACCTGTCCTGATTAGCAGCTGACTTGTCCCAGGGCCCACGGTCCAGCCCTCCAGCGGTCTGAGGGACAGTGAACTGGCCCCCTTTTTAAAAAGTTTGAGGACCCCTGAATTAAACTTTGCTTCTGGGAATATCACTCTCCACTATGAATTCAGGTCCCTCTTTTAAGAAACTAGTTGAGGCTCGGCGCCTGTGGCTTAAGTGGCTAAGGTGGCAGCCACGTACACCTAAGGTGGTGGGTTTGAATCCCCAGCCCGTGCCCGCCAAAAAATGGCCGGGCGTTGTGGCGGG